ACTTTTGACTCACTTTCTCTACAAAACCAGTGATACATTAACCTGAAGGATAAGCTACCATTGCTCCTGTGGAGCTAGGTATAGCGAATGTCTTCAGCGTTTTTCTTCTAAAAGTATCATAAAACATTTTTTTCCTTCACGTTCCCCAGTGGAATACAAGGCTTCAAGCTAGTGGCTTGAAGTTTCTGTAGCAGCGTTTATTTATTTTACAGGATGGGGTTGCCAGCCTCATGCCCAACTTTTCCTCTTTACCAGCATTATTTCTGGCTCAGCGAGGTAAAGGAGTGCGCCGGCCTGGGATCAAACCCCGGAACATGTGCATGGTCGGCGAGCATCCTAACCGCTATAACACCGACGCATCATGAAATATATGCCCTTATGATTTTACAAAAGAGAGAAAGAATCTCCCATATCTCTTTTCTAGAATATCTAACCCACTCTGGACACCGAGCTAATTTACCAACCAGCTTCTTGGTCACCACCTACAGAGTACAAAGAAATCTTGTCAAAAGGAGTACGAATCAAACTTCTTTAAAAAAAACAGAAGCTGTGGTAATCCACATGTTAAATCCTGAGCTCTGCATACACAAAAAATTTGTCCAGTCATTAAAAGTATTTTTTTCAATCTGCCTAAAATCACACATGAACATGCAACTACCATCTAAGCGGAGTTTCATCGAATTACAAACTAAACTTCATGCTTTTTTCTTTGAAATCCATTTGTTATCTATTTTTTTAATAGTCTCATGAACATCTATTTTGTTAGGAATTCAAGCATGTAATACGACCCATTACGTTAAGCTTATTTATTCAACCATACTATTCACTAATCGAAAGTGTCATGACATCAAATTAAAATGATTCAAGTTACATCAAAGAAGTTTCGAAATTCATTCGAAAGCAATTTTCAATTGAACTGAATAATAATCACCTAGTTAGGTGTGGTTGTCCTAGTATAATTTGAAAATCTCTATGAATTTATCCAACCTTGTATTAAACCAACAAATTATGTTATTTATTCCCATTTGGTTTCGATAAGAGAAATAACCTTATGCTTGTTTATTATTATGTCTACAGATAATTAGGTTAAAGAAAGTTTTATAATCGTAGAACACAATAAACACGACAGATTACTATGACTCTAACCACTTGTGTACTAAAACCTACTTTCTAAACTAGTATATTATAGCTGAATCGGAAAAATTGATTTTCCCATCATCTTGCCACTTGTGATGTCTAGTAGTTAAATAAACTGCCTGAAGTCATTCACTGGAAATTTTGAATGAACTCGATAAATTAAAATAACAATCTGACTAGAAGATAAAGTTATACAATAACGACAACTGTGGTACTCTTCGTAAATTTGCCCCCTCCTTTCACTGATAAACTTTAATTAATGTGAGCAGAAGTAAAACTTCAGAGAAACAGTATGAAATAGTGTTTTATTACTTATTATTGTTCCCTTAGGTTTCGAGTGCAAAATAAGGCTTCACTAGTGCATCATTTCATTCCTTTCTTTGCAGTCCTCTTTTGCTGGCTCCAAGATTGTCCATAAGCTTTCATCAACTTAGAGCAAAGCCCAACTTCTCGCTTCTCATTCGGGTTTCATTCGAGAGCTTGGCGCGCAATGTCATTTGATGGCCTCCTCAACTCGATCCATCTCCACTTTCTCCTGCATATTTAGTGAGCATTCAGCTCTTCATTGGCTTGTTCCCAGATAGAGTTTCTTGTCGCTAATTCACCCTGTCATTTGATCTTCAATATGAAGTCAGAGAAGGCAGCTGTTGATGAAAACCTGTAACCTGATCACCTGCAGTCCTGTCTTCGCTACCTACCAGCCTCTTCTGACAGTCTGTTGGTTTCCGCATGCAAGTCTCCTAGTTTGCATGACACTAAACATAAATCATCCACTCGCAAAAATTAAGATCTTCTACAGTCTCCTTGTCATTCCAAGGTATTCCTGTCCTCTCACTCTCTGTGCAAAGTCTGTCACATAATCCAGTCCACCACAAGTGAGAATATCATTGGTGATAATAGGTAGCTAGCTTGACTTACTCCCGTATTTACTTCAAACACCTCGCTGAGTTTTCTGTTTTGGATCGCTGTAATAAAGCCGGTGAATGAAGTTCATAAAGATTTTGAGGACTTCACCCCGCAGTTGAGGAACAGATATAACTGCCACCCTATGTTCTTTTCAGTTAAAATGTGTAGCTATGCAATTTGATTGGCGTATAATTCGCTTTTCTTTAATTCAGCTTGTTCTGGGAGGGGTTCTGCATCCAAAGGGTCTTTCAGTCTCTTCAGGATGACTCTACTCTACAAAAGTAAACTATGAAACACTTTACTTCTATTCAGTTATTCTTAGTTTGACTAACAATTGGCTATCACACTGAAGATCAGCGGTGGTTTCTTTCCTACTGTTCTACTTTTTTTAAAAACATTTTTACACCTTTAAAAAAGAAATGGACAAGGGACCTCTTTTAATTTACTCACAATTATGCAGTGTGGAAGAGAAAATTCAATGAAAGTCACAGGTTCAAGGCGTGTTATTTTGTGCTCTGACGTTTGAATTGCACCAGAACATAAAAGAACTCAAAATCAATAAGGTGTAGTAATGATATTCCGAACTTTTCAGGGAAAAGAATATTATCGTGAACAGTAGGACGTGTAACTAGAGTATAAGTACCTCAAAGTAAAGTCCTTTTAAAAAGTAATCTATCTCTAAGGTCCCCTTTCCTCCCCCACAACACTTGAGAGCTTTCTCTTCCACCTAATTGTAAAGAACACGTACATGAATAGTTTTTGAGGTCTGTTTTCCGGAAATCACATTCCGATTGTCAATGTCAATTCATCACCTTATGTGAGTTTTGCCAGAGTATGGTTTCGCTTTGTTCAGCGCAATAAAGTTTACCCCCCCCCCCAAACACTCCAGTTGCTTAATAGACAAAATCAACAGTAAATCTAATATAATGTAGCGTGTAAACCTATTCCAATTCCAACCATCATTATTAAAAACCATCTCTATGGACAATTGAAATACCCCTGTGGTTTTAATATAAAATTATTGCTAAGGTATTTTTTAATGCATTTTTTTTAATTGCAATTTATGAGTATATATCAGAAGCTGGCTAAAAAATAATAAGGAAGCTAATAGTTCAATTCATGGGATTTCAATGGCTTTTTTAGTCAGTAATTTTATCACATTTGCATTTGATATAGTTAGTCGCATTCATGAATTTTCTTTATTAATTGTATATTTATAAGCTAACTATATAGTCACACCACCCATTATTGGTGATGCTAACAGGAATTCTTACAAAAGACTACTTGACATGTTATAACTAGATCCTGTTGATTTACTACTTGTGGCTACAGCTCACACATCAAGAGGTAATATGTTGTATCGGAAAATCTATATTTTATCGGTTCTGAGTATCCTTAATGCCTTAAATATGTGCCTTATTATTACTAATAACCTGTTGTTGTAACATCCAAATGAGGATTCGCTTCACTTTCTAACCAGAAATAATAATGAGTTGAAACTGGAATTACTGAAATATAGGATAATGTTCGAATAAAGCAAGAACAATGGTTTGTGCAAAATAATACGGTATCATCAACTATTTTACTGACTTCTCATTAGCAGTCTACATTATTATTATTTCCTTTAATTCCTAGAGGAACATAGGACTTCAGCTGCGCACCTCCATTGGCTTCTGTTTTCTGCCAACTTTTTCACTCTGCTCCAAGTCTGCCCACATGCTTTCATCTCCTCCTCACATGACCTCCTCCAAGTCACCCCACCCTCGCACTGACGACCAACTCGCTGCTTCCCTTTCAGGTTCCACTCGAGCGATGGCTTGTCTAGTGATGTCACTTGATGGTTTCCTCAGAGTATGGCAAATCCATCTCCATTTCTTCCTGCCTATTTGTTTCACAATCGGTTCCTGGTTGGTTCGCTCATTGCCAGAGATCCCTGTTGCTGATCTTTTCTGGCCGGTCATCTCATCTTGAGTATTGAGCGAAGACAGCTGTGTGATGAAGGTCTGTAGTTTGTTTGAGATGCTCTTCATGACGCACTGGCCAAGTCTCTGATCCGTATAGTAGCACTGACTTCACAATGGAGTTGAAAATCTGGATGTTATTTTTGATGCTGAGTGCTGTTGACCTCCACACAGACTTAAGAGTAATGAAAGCCTGCCTTGCTTTGATATCCTCGTGAGTTCCGTCCGCTTGTAGTTGAAACGATGCTTCCCAGTTAGGTAGTCAAATGAGGTTGTTTCTTTCAAGTTCCTCCCATTTATGCTGGCTGATTGTTGTCTGTTGTTGTTGTTGCTGTTGCTGTTAGCCAGGAACCTTCATGTGGTGATTGACAATTTCTATCTCTGTATTGTTTAAATACTTACTGTTGACTGTTGATATGTTTCTTATATGAATTGCATTCTAATTCCGCTAAATACAAATTACTGATTGCTGCCCTCTCTGGGTTTTGATTAGATTCCTATAATTCCGTCATCCCGGTATAATAATACTTCAAGTACAATAAATTACTACAAATTGGCGTCGCGATGGAGCTAAGTAACCTGGGAAAATTCCCCATTAATGGTTCTCCGCGGGAGATTGCTGATTATTTGGAATGCTTTGATGCGTGGTGCATTTCCAAGAATGTTCGGGATGATAAAATACCTGCTCATTTCATCACCGCTATTGGTCTTGATGCATATAGCCTGGTGAAGAATCTGGCGTTTCCAGATAAACCCATTTCTATGCCATATGCTAAGCTCCGTGAACTTCTTATAGATCACTTCCATGTAACTACTTTTGAGACCAGAGAGAGGGCTCACTTCAACAAACTGGTACGTTCTCCCAATCAGAAGATAAGAGACTTTATACTTCAACTCCAAATTCAAGCCTCAAAGTGTAATTTTGGAGATCAGCTGCATACACAACTACGTGATCGTCTAATTGCTGGAATCAACATTCCTAAATTAGAGAAGGAGTTAATTCAGATTCCTTCTTGTACGTTTCAAACTGCTAAAGAGGTATGTATTACATATGAAGATGTCCATAATGAATACTCTGCTCCCACTACGTCAGTATCTGATGTCATGCTGTCCAAAGTCGAAAATACAAGTGTTCATGGAAAGAAATCCAAACTGCCGTCCACAGGTAATAGAATGCAGCCAGAGATCAAAAACATTAAACCGTGTTTATCCTGTGGAAAGTTACATCTACGAAGCACTTGCCGTTTTCGGAGTGCTAAGTGCTATAAATGTGGTAAAGTTGGACACATCAAGACGGTTTGCAGAAGTTCGAGTACTTATGTTGCTCAACATTCTTATAATTCTCCCAAGCTGTCTAGTAAAATGGAGTCTATGTGTCTTTCAACTTTTCAAAATACTCAAGCTAATCCAACGAAAACCTCCACTGCAAGTTCAGCAACGCAAGTATCAACTGTATTCAAAAATGAGGTAGCCAAGTTGCAATGTGAACTGTCGAAAGCACGAAAAGACCTGAATGAGATGAGAGAGCAACTGAATAAAATTGAGGAATTACTGCATATGCATAGACTACGTCTGGTGAATCCAGAGCATACAAGTTCTTGTGAAAGTCCTGCAAAACTATTCAAATCTCGAATTCTCAAAAAGCATCTGATGTCCACTACTTCTAATGTACATTATTACAAAGATAATAACTACAGACCTTCTGTTGGAATTATACTACAAAAAATGGGAAATCGAGTGGTGAAGATATTAGACATCAAAGATCACTCAGTTCATAACGGACACCTGGACAAAGTGACAATAAATGAAGTAGGTCGTTCCAATTATAATATTATTGATTCCGCTAATAATCCTGATTTTGTAGATAATTCAGAAATAAGTCCAGATAGTACTGATGAAAATAATATCACAGAATCAGTTAGCTCGAAGCTACTTGCAAGCAAACCGAGACATCGTTATAAATACGCGAGGAGATATTCGAGGTGTGGCGGATGTGGTGATTGACAATTTCTATCTCTGTATTGTTTAAATACTTACTGTTGACTGTTGATATGTTTCTTATATGAATTGCATTCTAATTCCGCTAAATACAAATTACTGATTGCTGCCCTCTCTGGGTTTTGATTAGATTCCTATAATTCCGTCATCCCGGTATACTAATACTTCAAGTACAATAAAATACTACACTTCATCACCTCCGTTTTATCTATGTTCACCTATAGTCCTATGTTCGATGCTTCTTCTACCAGCTCATTGCTTTTCACTTGTATATCTTCCAGTTTGTATGAAAAAAGGACATATATCATCGGCAAAGTCCATATTCTCCAAGTTCTCCTTTTGTGTGAGTCCATTTTATGCCCGTTTCCTCCTTGCCCGTTGTCTACCGCGTTATCAAATCCACTGCAATCAGGAAGATCATTGACGATAATAGACAGCCCTGCCTCACTCCCGTCCTCACTTCGAAGGCTTCCGTAAGTTTCCCATTTTAGATTATTTGGCACCTCGAAATACTAATACTACGATTACAATTAATTACAACAGATTCTTGAGTTATTTTAGTACATATTTTTGCCAAAGGTTTCCAGAATGGTTTGCAAAAAACAGAGTTTAGCATGTCCACTATGAGTAACTTTTGATAACAGTAACAATACCCTGGTGAGGAACTGGATGAAGACTTAAATTTAGTCTTGTTCGTCAAGTTAGTAAGTTAGATGACGTAATATAGTTGAGTAAAATGTTTCAACCTAGGTCAGGGTAGTCACAGAGCTAATTACAGATAGAGGACTAAGTAGAGCTGGGTTAGAGAATAATGCTATTTAAATTAGAACTGAAATTGAGCAAATAAGTTGGATGACGTAACATAAATGACTAGAAATTGAGCGTTGGTCAAGTCAGTAACAGTGGTAGTGAGGTGTAGAAATTAAATCGGGTGGGGTAGAGAACAAGAAAGTTGAAAATGTAAAATATTACAATTGAGAAGACAAAATAATACTGATGAAGAGACAGAAAAAAGGTTACGTGGAATTTACCTGTCGGGTAATAAGATAGATTACGTCCATTGCAAGCGTAGTGATTGAACAGACTTCTCCTGTATGCAGAGTTCAGGACTTAGCAAGTCAATCGCCATTGCTTCTGCAGTTTGAAGAAGTCGGATTCGTATACCTTTAGGAAGACTACTTCTTACTCTGTAGGCGACTATGAAGTTTGTTTGGGGTGCAGCTTAGTGTCCGGATTCTATCAGATGTTCTAAGATGGAGCTAGGGGGGGAGGCATCGGTCTTCTCCTTTGTAAAACCATGCTGGTAAGTGTTCGGTGATACGTTTGGAAAGCTAACGCCGGGTACGACCAACATACCCAGCTCCACACGAGAAGGTGAATTGATAAATACACATTGATGATGTCAGCAGTGGTAGCTTATCCTTCACGTTCACATGAATCATAGGTTTTGTGCAGAAGGTTAATCGTAGTTCGGCTGCGAAGAAGGTCTTCTTGAGTGAGCGCGACAGTAGATTTTTCAGTGTTTCACAGATATATCTTCATTGAGTTGAAGGTTCGTGTAGAGTAGTTTTTTTTCAAGACGCTAAGCATTGGCGGCTTTTGTGGTCTAGGATTCATAGATTTTGCAATAAATGGTCCCGGATAACAACTGTCGACGAGGATTCTCTTGAGATTGTCCAGTTCATCTTCTATGGTGTCCGGGGTGCAAATTCTGCGAACTCTGCAGCTGAGTGAACGGATCAGGTTTCGTTTAGTGTATTGTTTTATTTTTTATGTGTAAGTATGATTACTATGCTTCATCGTCTTAATGACGCAACTCCCACTAAGCAGGCATTCTATACCATTTGCAATTTAATTCACTCAAACAGTGAGAATTAAGAAATTCTAACTTACTTTAGGAATACAGTTAACAATTGCTTACTGTAGTTTACTCAAATCGATTATTATCGCTATCGTCAGAGTGGCTGCAGTTATTTGCATACTCACAACTTATTACCTCAACACTATACAGATGTCTTGTTATTTAATACATGGCAATGTAGACTTCTTCGCATGTTTCACTAGGTTAAAATATACATTTACATTTATCACTCTTATTACTAAAAATTTAGTCTGTTTTATTTCCCATTTAAGTAGTACTCAGAAACTACATGCTTCTGTTTTTTCACTACAACTTCAAAACGGATATCTTATCATCTTAAATATAGAGCGGAGACTTTTTCTCCTCTTCCGTTCATTTACGTATGATGTGGAGCTGTAAAAGTGAATGTGTCATCGATCACAACAGCCTGTCAGTTTAATGATGTTTAGCTTAAAGTACTCGAGTCATAACCTTAGAGAATTCATTTAGCTAAAAGCTGAGAGATCAAGCAAGCACTGAGGTCATTTCTCTCACCATCATGTGACAGGCCATGGTAACGCATGGTGTCTATTACAACAGTTAGTGAGTTCCTTGGTTGATGTTATATCCTACACTTCATCACTATTGGTAAAAGAATATCAGTAGAATAACACAAATGAAATCAATATTCAGTCCTATTTTCTTTTCTGCCTGCCTCTTCTCCAACCGAGACTTTTCCACATTCTGGAAAGTATAAAGAACAGTATGTTTTTGAACTACAAATCCAACTCCATTTTAGAACGATAACATCCAGAATCAAAACAATTTGATGAATCTTATAAACAGTATATAATCATGTAAACAGAAAAAGAAATTAATAAAACACAATTTCAACATTCATAAATTTGACATTTATCTTACAGTAACTCACAAAATAATTTATAAATTATTTATCTTAAAACTTGAAAACAAACCTTTCTTAAATTTTCATCCAATCCATCTTATTATCATGATCAACATTATTATTACATTTTGTTTTTATTAGCTTACATTTTAAATATTTGTTTGTTTTGTTTTTTTTTGTTCTCAATCTTTGAAACCATGGTTTCTTCTTATTGTTTACAATGTCTTTTTAAATAGGCAATAAATTAAACCTACTGTTATCACAAATGAAATAAAGGGGGAAAAGAGTAAACATTTCAAACATTAGTTTGTTTGAAATACATATCACTGTGTAAATAAACTAGAACATTGAGAAAAAAAATAAATAAACAATTACAAACAATCAGTGAAAAAAATGAATAAATTAAGATCAATCAAAGGTAACAAGATAAACAAATATAGAATGGTTAGATTCAGTGCCATTTACCAGATTTAACAAAGATGAAAAAGAAAGGATTAATCTGAATTAATTTACTTGAGAAAAACTTCACACCACTGTGTAATTTCTGGAAGTTGAAGCTATTTTATTCTCTATGACATTTGATTTTAACTGATCATTTACAATAATAAGAAATAATAACATTATTGCCTGATATTATCATTTACTTGAAAGCATTATTACTGATTAGAATTTCTAAAATGTGTCACTTTAATGAGACATCTTGGTTACCATAAGCAACAGAAGAATGTTTTGTGAAAGTAAAACCTTATAAGAAAGGATCAATACTTATAAAGCAAGCCTTAATTTAATCTATTCTGTGATCTAATCATATATATATCCATTTGTCATTATGGAAAGTTAAAGAGAAAATAGAGTGTAGGCTTCAAATGATTGTAAATGAACATATTTTTAGGTACATCAGCTTGATATATACACATCCTGGATTGCAATAGTAGTCGTTGTCAAGGAAATAACATCAAACTGATGCAAAATGTGTTACTGAAGTGTCCATTCTAGAAGGCTTTACTCTAACACCAACCAATCATTTCGGCTAAATGAAATATAATCTAAAGAAGAAATGAATATCGCTAAAAAGACATTTGAAACAGTTTACGCAGCACATCAGTACTAATCAAAATAAGGCCCTAAGGGCTTAGAAATCTCGATAATGATGAAATCAGGCCTGCTGAAAAAAGATTAATAGAGATTCAGTTAAGAAAAGTATTGGTTTTTCCACTCACACACTGAAGCTATGAAACCTTAAGTTCTGCAATAATAGCGATAAAGCTAGTCAAAGTAATAATCTCTTTTACCGTGTTTTAACTTACAAAGACATATGACTAAAGTCACTCCAGAGTAATTGACTTGGGATTTCGTCTAACTGATATGCTATAAATTATGATAACCACCACTATACACCGACAGCACTTCAATACATGACTATGTATACCTAATTACTTAAATGCTTTTTCCATACTAGGCAGAAGGCAAGTTTAGTTCCACGAGGAAACAGATAAATAAATGAAAAAACCATTTCAGAAGTCCACCATCTGCTAAGTTTAACACAAAACCGTGTTAAAAACCTTTATTAGTTTAACCTTACCATACAGATTAAAGATGAATATTTAATCCATTGCTTATATTATAACATTATTATCCACTAGGGCTCTGAGTGAAACACAGGCTTTTGACAGCACACTGCCATGTTATCCTGTTTCCTGAAGTCGCTTTTAGCCAGCTCCACGACTGCCCATAAGCCCTCATCTCTTGTACAGAAGACATTAACTAATATAAATGTCATCATTTCATATTGACAGAGGCTGAAACCACCTACTGTTGAATCTTGTATACTTTGAAACACTTTGTGGACACGTGAAAAATGCAATATTTCGGTTACATTTATCAGTAATTTGGGAATAAATCTTAGTAACAAACATCAAAACGTCAAGTGGGAGGTAGAGGATTTCTACGTCTTGAGATCTAAGAGGTCACTTCTTCAGCAAAATAATATAAACATACAGATTGGGAATATAGGTGGTAAATTTTAAATAAAAAAGTACAGAAGTTCAAGAATATAATTTGCAAGAGTTGCTGTCAGAAATATAAATCGGCTAAATGATTAGAAAAACAATAAGTAGACAAAAGTACTTGTATTCCGATGATATCATTATAGTTTCTAACACAGATAACACTGCTAGTTGAGCTTCAAGTATGTTATAGAAAGTGTGAGTTCCAATGGACTTGTTAGACCTGTGAAAGTCAGAACAGAAGATCGAAGAATTGGAAGCACGATTGAAGGTGTAGCGGTGAATAATTCCCCAAAATTATTGACCACAGCAATCATCACTGAACATTTGGATGCTGACCCTCACTGTTTGAGTCGACTTGCTTAGCTGAAGACTTCCGGTCAAGCATCCACGCCAT